TGGAAGAGGCTGAGGAGCGTGCTGACATCGCTGAGTCACAGGTCAACAAGCTTAGAGCCAAGAGCCGTGATGCTGGAAAGGTAATCTTTCTCACATGATTTTTCAAACATACTTGCATCTTAAAGCTTTTATTTGGCCATAAATTGTTCCATTTTATATTCATACAGATTTTTATTGTTGTAACTTTTTTTTTCAGAGCAAAGAGGCAGCAGAGTGAAAATCTTCACATTAACTGTCACAAGCTCCCATTTGCCTCTCAAAAGGTGCAATTGCTCAATAAAACGTAATATTCTTCAACATCTTTCATTTCAATTGTTTTTTGTCATTCTCTTCTCCATATCCTGATGGATTTTTTCATGTGTATTATATTTATTTTCATATACAGCAATCTCCTCAATAGTTATAGCTTCAAAAAATAATTTTAATTGAACAATGAGCTTTTAACCAGTATAACTACTTATTGCACTAGTTAACTTCCACTAGTTAAATACTGTTGTAAATTATTCTCAATAACTCAACCATTAAAAACGGAAAAAACAGACAATAAAAGAGAGAGAGAGAGAGAGAGAGAGAAAACAAGTCCACTTTATTTGAGCCAAATAAGTAAGTTTTTAGTCTTTAAAGAGGCTTTTTAAGGTGTAAAGTCTAAAACTAAAATGTACAATTTTTAAATTTCAGATTACTTAATATGCACAGCATGTAAAAGCTTGTACAGGCAGATAACAAATTATGAGACTCGAATAAATTATTAAACTAAAAACCGATCGGCGGCTGACTTGAAACAGTGCATGCCGGTTAGGAATTTTGTCCGACTTGATGCAGCGCTGACTCCACGTGACTGTGACATATGCAAAGTACCGCGAGAGCGATACGAGAGTAGCCGGAGGACTCAGCCAGCACAGCTTCTCAAGAGCGGCTGCACCAGAGCCATGTATTGAGTTGCGACACGCTTTGATGTCGCCGCAAGGCTGTCACGTGGTTCATGGAAGCCCCAATAGTTCCAAAACAGACGCGGGCTGTCATGTTCTTCAATGGACAGACAGCAGCAATTGCATTATTAAACGGTAAATATAAAAGAGAGTAAACACTGCGGAGGTCAGGCGGGAGTGAGTTCCAGAGCTGATGGTGACAAGTCGAGCAGGGGGTACAGTGAGGTGAATGGAAGAGGAAGATCTGAGGGAGCGGGAGGAGGTGGCGATGTGGAGGAGGTCAGATAGATATGGAGGAGCAAGGTTATGGATAGCTTTGAAAGTATGAAGAAGGATTTTAAATTGTATTCTGAATTGAACCGGGAGCCAATGGAGCTGTTGAAGGACAGGGGTTATATGATGAAAAGAGGGGGTTCTGGTGATGACACGAGCAGCTGAATTCTGAAGAAGTTGGAGTTTATGGAGAGATTTTTGTGGGAGGCCAAAAAGAAAAGAGTTGCAGTAATCAAGGCAGGAGGTGATGAGGCTGTGGATAAGAATAGAGGCAGTGTGAGAGGTAAGGGAGGGACGGAGGCGGTTAATGTTGCGAAGGTGGAAGTGTGCAGACCGGCAGATGTTATTAATGTGTGACTGAAAAGATAGGGAGGAGTCAAGGATTACGCCCAGACTCTTGACCTGAGGGGAGGGGGAGACCAAGGAATTGTCAATGGGTAATGTGAAACTATTAATTTTGGAAAGTGTGGATTTGGTGGCAACAAGAAGGAGTTCAGTTTTATCACTGTTAAGTTTTAGGAAGTTTAAGGTGAACCAGTCTTGATTGTCGTGAACAATCACGACAACCAACGTAAAATATAAATAATTACGCTGTGCATGTACAAATGAATGATTTAGGAGGGATATAGACTGCTCCCATGACGTAGCAATGACCATATTTACAGTAATGTTCGGTAAATTTTAACTGTTAGGTATCTTTTCTATTTTGAACTTTATTTTGTATAGTGCTATGGACCATTTAATATGTATGTCCTGAATAAAGATATGATGATGATGAGTTAATGAGTAAAATATTTGTTCCTAAATATGATCCATAACTGTTGGAATTCAATTCAGTGGCTAATGTAGCCCTTCATCCTACCCTATTCATAGACTAAACCATTCATCAAACACACACAAATACATACGAGGTGTATATATATACACTCACCGCCACTTTATTAGGTACACCTGTCCAACTGCTCGTTAACACTTAATTTCTAAGCAGCCAATCACATGGCGGCAACTCAGTGCATTTAGGCATGTAGACATGGTCAAGACAATCTCCTGCAGTTCAAACCGAGCATCAGTATGGGGAAGAAAGGTGATTTGAGTGACTTTGAACGTGGCATGATTGTTGGTGCCAGAAGGGCTGGTCTGAGTATTTCAGAAACTGCTAATCTACTGGGATTTTCACGCACAACCATCTCTAGGGTTTACAGAGAATGGTCCGAAAAAGAAAAAACATCCAGTGAGCGGCAGTTCTGTGGGCGGAAATGCCTTGTTGATGCCAGAGGTCATCATGATGCCAGGAGAATGGCCAGACTGGTTCGAGCTGATAGAAGGGCAACAGTGACTCAAATAACCACCCGTTACAACCAAGGTGGGCAGAAGAGCATCTCTGAACACACAGTACGTCGAACTTTGAGGCAGATGGGCTACAGCAGCAGAAGACCACACCGGGTGCCAGTCCTTTCAGCTAAGAACAGGAAACTGAGGCTACAATTTGCACAAGCTCATCGAAATTGGACAATAGAAGATTGGAAAAACGTTGCCTGGTCTGATGAGTCTCGGTTTCTGCTGCGACATTCGGATGGTAGGGTCAGAATTTGGCGTCTACAACATGAAAGCATGGATCCATCCTGCCTTGTATCAACGGTTCAGGCTGGTGGTGGTGGTGTCATGGTGTGGGGAATATTTTCTTGGCACTCTTTGGGCCCCTTGGTACCAATTGAGCATCGTTGCAACGCCACAGCCTACCTGAGTATTGTTGCTGACCATGTCCATCCCTTTATGACCACAATGTACCCAACTTCTGATGGCTACTTTCAGCAGGATAATGCGCCATGTCATAAAGCTGAATCATCTCAGACTGGTTTCTTGAACATGACAATGAGTTCGCTGTACTCAAATGGCCTCCACAGTCACCAGATCTCAATCCAATAGAGCATCTTTGGGATGTGGTGGAACGGGAGATTCGCATCATGGATGTGCAGCCGACAAATCTGCGGCAACTGTGTGATGCCATCATGTCAATATGGACCAAACTCCCTGAGGAATGCTTCCAGCACCTTGTTGAATCTATGCCACGAAGAATTGAGGCAGTTCTGAGGCAAAAGGGGTCCAACCCGTTACTAGCATGGGGTACCTAATAAAGTGGCCGGTGAGTGTATATATATATAAAATATTTTATATATTTTT